GTCAGACATCCCCTGAGGGCTCCCAGACTGTGAGAGGGTGCAAGCTGGGCTGAGGGACACCCCCCCCCCCCCCCCCCCCCCCGGGGCACGAATTTCGTGCACCGGGCCTCCAGTACTTTTATAATAATACTAAGACATTATTTAGCTGTTTTCACTTTCATTCTTTTATAAGTGCCCTTTCCAGAAGCTATGTGATATGTTGTGTGATGTCAGAACAGATTGAATGCAGAAGCAGCTATGAGAATCCAGCTATATTTTATTAGTTCAATATTAAGGAGATTTGCAGAAATGTAAAACAGTGCCACTCTTTTCACTAATTTTTTCTTTTTGTTTTGGAAAATTGTATTATTATATGAACATGCTATGGTGTTTATTATTTTAAAAATAATTAACAAATATTTTTAAATTCCTGTTTTAATTTCTATTTTGGCAACTATTGGCAGATGTAACCTACATAAACAAAAGCTCTTTGAGGAGCTCAATAATTTTTTTTTTTTATTGTTTAAAGTATTACATCATTGCGGCAGAATGTACGGCGGAACAATCAGCCAGCACTCTGAGGGAGGAAAGTTTAACTTTTATTTCGCAGATCTGCTAGTTCAGGGGATTCCGGATCCAAAGCCTGAACTGAACTCATGGGGAGGCTCTGACCTATATATCTCCTCTTGTGGTGAGCCCCTGAGGGTCCCTGCAGTGCCACCAAAGTCAGTGTTGGTGGGCCCTGGGGGCATGCTCCACAGCTCTGCCCAAGTCAGTCAGAGTGGGGAAGTAAGACTACAGTTTTAACCAGATACTGAACTAGGTTGCAATCCCCACCCCACCCCCCCCCCCCATTTTCCTTTTCAACAGTATTTCTTATGGTTCTTGTTACTGAACGCCTTGTCTCTGGGGTACCTGATCACCATGGAATATTATAGCCTTTTGGCCAGTTGGTCATTAAAGAGAGAGTCATCTACACTAATAAAAGAGAAACATGGTAATTGGCGTACGGTCTCTGGATCTATTTTTATTCATCAGTTTATGTTGATCATTATATCCCACATATGAGTGAGATCATGTGATATTTATCTTTTTCTGACTGATTTATTTCGCTTAGCATAATGCTCTCCACTTCCATGCATGATGTTGCAAATGGTGAAAGGTCCTTCTTTTTTATACCAGCGTAGTCTTCCATTGTGTAGCTGTACCATAGTTTTTTAATCCACTCATCTGCTGATGGGCACTTAGGCTGTTTCCAAACCTTAGCTATTGTAAATTGTGCTGCTATGAACATAGGGGTGCATATATCCTTTCTGATTGGTGTTTCTGTTTTCTTGGGATATATTCCTAGAAGTGGGATTACTGGGTCAAATGGGAATTCCATTTTTAACTTTTTGAGAAAATGGGGAGCTCAATAATCTTTAAGGTTTCATAGTTTTTAAGGTATCTTGAGGCCAAAGAGTTTAAGAACTGCAGTATTAGTGGAAAGTGCCATGTTTTCCATAAGAGGAAAACCATACTTGACTAATTTGTTGGAGATCATTGAGTAAATCTTTGTATATTTAAGTATGTGGACTTTGAACAAATTTTAAAGATCCTTAAAGTTTGCCTAACACACACACACGTGCACACACACACACACACACAGAGATTAAATGAATAGTTAGAAAATTTATATGGAAGTAGAAAATAAGGAAGATTTTTTTGGATGACTAAATATGATCAATTAGTCTGATTTACACATTGAAAAGATGATTTGGAAGAATTATGGTCAACTGGAAAGATCACTGAACTAGGGATGAGAAGATCTGTTTTGTGTTCTGTTTCTGACTCCTTGATTCAATAAAGGTTTTTGAGTAAGTAAGCTTTTCAGTGTTTTGAATTTGCATTTCTTCAAATGAAGAATTGGAATAAATAAATTCTACCCTACTTTTTCTTTTACTCATTCAACAAATATTTATTAATTACTTAGGGTGTACTAGGCTCTATTCTAAGTTATTACGGAAATAGTGATAAAATATGCAATGTCTCTGCCTCATGAAGCTAACAGTTTAATGAGAGAGGAAGGGGTAAACGAGTAAATAAATATATAAATATTAGAGGCCTGGTGCATGAAATTCGTGCATGGGTAGGGTCCCTAGGTCTGGACAGTGATCAGGGCCGATTGGGGCCTTCCTTCCCCCGGCTGCCAGCTGCCGGCTGGGGCCATCCTTCGTTCTGTGCCACCCCCTGGTGGTCAACGCACGTCATAGGGAGCGGTTAGACTCCAGGTCGGTCGAACTCCTGAGGGGACAATTTGCATATTAGCCTTTTATTATATAGGATCTATAAGTTGTGATAAATACTAGGAAGGAATAGTGTGAAATGAAAAAGGAAAATGCTACAGACCTACTTACATAGAACTAACAGAGAAGGCTTCTCAAAGACCAGATGTATGAGGAGCAGCAGAGGGAATAGCTTTTAGCAAAGAGAATTGTGTGTGCAAAGGCCCTGAGGTGTGTCTAAAGTGTGATAGACATGAGAAATGCTAGGACAAAATGAGGTTGGAGAAGTTGACAAGGTCTTGGTCATGCAGAGCCTTATAGGCCATGGAAAGAAGCTTGCATTTTAGATGTGGGAAGGGTCCAAATGTATTCAAGCTGAGAGAACTAACGGTAAGGGATTATTTGGCCAGACTAGCATGTTAGTGAATACAGCTTAAATTCATTGAGGTGGTTGTAATGGTAAATAAGCACCATTTCTCACAACTATACCTGGTCAGTGTTCTCAGGGACAGACTAATGATTTAGGGAGTAATTTTCGCTTAGTGTTAAAATCCTTGGGTTCTTACTACATTTTTAATTATGTTTATTTATTTACTCAACAAATAATGTATGAAATTACTACGTTCATACCAGATTTTCCTATTAATTACATCTCTTTATTTTAGTGCACTTCTTTTTAATGAAGTAAAATATATTACTACCCTGGAAGACCTTCAGAATATAGAAAATGCTCTGAAAGGAAAAGCAAACATTGCATTTTCGTATGTAAGAGCCATTGGAACACCAGGTATTTATTAACTTTTACTTTAATCTTTGCTGTGCATCTATACTTGTGAGAGTATATTGAAGAACTTAAAGAGTATTTTGACCACAATCTTAATATTTTAAAATAAATTTAAAGCATCTTTATTCTTATGTTTTCTGTTTTTAATCAGGCAGCATAGTATAGTGGTTGAATAAGAACTCTGGAGCCATACTGCCTAGGTTAGACCCCCTGCTCCATCAATTACTTATAGTATGACCTTGGTCAATTTACTTAACCTGTTTTCTAATTGCTAAGATGGTGAAAAAAATTTGTGCTTGCTTCTTAGTATTATTGTGAGGACCAAATAAGTTTGAATAATTAAAATAGTTTCTGGCATGTGATAGGTGTTCTGTGTTAGCTGTTACTATTTTTATTTCCTTACAATATTCATGGTACCTGGTGTAGTAGTTTATAGTATTCAGTAAATGTTGACTGACTGGCTTTCTTTTTAAATGTTTTGGTATTTGCTGTTTATGATATATTTTTATTTGTTTTTCAAAGATCTAACTTTGACAATCAAGTTGTAAGTACAGAATAGGCAGAATATTTGATTTAACCTGATTGTGTTTTAGCCAGATAGGCAGGGGAGTGATTATAACGACTGACAATGGAATTGAAGCAGGGTTATAAGGCAGGAGAGGACCTGAGGAGGGTGGGGGGTGGCTGACAGTGAAATGTGGTAAGATTGTAGGTCCTGGAGGGTTAGAGTTATGTGCTAAATGAGTGACCTAGTCAGATGGAGGTCTGGGGGTGGGAGGTAGGGGGAGGGAGGATGATAGACATTGAGATTATGGAGGAATTTACAGTGATTGCTAATTGAAGGCCTGCAGTGGGACCATAACAGTGAGTGGTTAAGGTAGGGTTGAAGAAAGATCATTGGAGTCTATGGAGAAGGCCAAGCATTTTGAATGGATCATCTAGGGCAGCGGTTCTCAACCTGTGGGTCGCCAATCTGTGGGTCGCGACCCCTTTGGGGGGCGAAAGACCCTTTCACAGGGGTCGCCTAAGACCATCGGAAAACACATATATAATTACATATTGTTTTTGTGATTAATCACTATGCTTTAATTATGTTCAATTTGTAACAATGAAAATACATCCTGCATATCAGATATTTACATTACTTTTCATAACAGTAGCAAAATTACAGTTATGAAGTAGCAACGAAAATCATTTTATGGTTGGGGGTCACCACAACATGAGGAACTGTATTAAAGGGGCGCGGCATTAGGAAGGTTGAGAACCACTGATCTAGGGGATAAGAAAATCACCAAGGATTATGACAGGAGTAGTATTGGAGAAAATGACAGCGTGATGAGGGGGAATGACACTGGCTGGGGTGGTAGTTGACACTAACAAGGCAGAGTGATGAGTGGAATTATCTGATGAAATGCAATATAAGTGGTAGAAGGTTGGGTGGTGGAGGGGAAGGTAACTGTCTGGAAATGACAGTGAGGAGAAAAGAAAAAAAAATATGAAAAGGAGGAAATCTTTAAAGAAGCAGTTTAAGAAAATTTCCCAGAACTGAAGGATTCAGGCTTTCAAATAGAAAGAGCCCATTGAGTCCCAGCATAGTGGATGAATGTAGAGCCACACCAAAGCATCTCATCTTAAAATTTCAGAATATTGGGAACAAAAATTATTCTCAAATTTTCCAGAAAGAAAAAAGAAGTTTCCAGTTAAAGGGTCAAGAATCAGAATGGCATTGGACTTCTCAATTGCAGCCCTGTAAAATGAAGGAAATGGAGCAATGCTTTCAGAATTCTCAGAAGGAACTTAAACCTCAAATTTTATTAGCAGACAACTGTAGTTATGAAAGTAGAATAAAGACACTTTCAGAAATGCAAGCTCGCAAAAAATATGTATTCCATATATCCTCTTATGGGAAGTGCTAGAGAATGGGAGCAAGGGGGCAAATCAGTCAAGAAGATATGGGTAACAGGCCAGTTGACCTCATACAAGAGCGAGAATAAGAGGTTTCCACGGTGATGATGAAGTGGGTTCTCAGGAGGAAATTTGCGCAGCAGGTCAAGTAGCAACAGTCCATATTGGACATTTCTGCAGAAAAGTCTCCAAGAAGAGGGAATAGTTAGTATACCTGATATATTTGAAGTATTAAGAGGGTTAGACAACTGTGCTAAAGTTTAGGAATAAATTAGTAAGAAATATATACAAAAATAAAAAAGAATGGTATAAATATAGTGAAAAAAATTGTTTAAAAGTGCTCATTTTGGACTGTATGTCTCATTTGTAAGTAGTAATTACTGACTCATAACGTAAATATGGACTATTGATTTGATAAAAATTACAACGATATTGAGAAAATTGAGGGGATAGAAATATGTACATTTGTAGAGGGAGATTTTGGAGAAAAGAACTAATTTATCATCTCCCACAGTGGGAAGTTAATAGATAATACTAACACTTACAAAAATTAGGAAATAAGAGTATAAGAATGTAATTTAGAGACTTGGTGGTAAATACCCAAAGAAACAGTAAAAGAGTTGAAACTAATTGTCCCTTGGAAAGAAATTGGAAATGGGGTGGAAGGTGAACTTTTTTTTTTCTTAATGTGTAGAATGATTTATCTCTTTAAACTATATTTAAGAACAAGTTTCATTAAAGAAAACTAAACCAGAAACAGCACACAGACATATACATATATAAAATATAACATATAAAAGTTATATGGTGGATTCATATTTTCTCCCCTGCTGCTTGGAAGAAGCTATCACAGATTTTTCATATGTTATATTCTCAAGTATAACTTACTTTATACTCCTGCTTAATGGGGTGGAAGGTGAACTTTTTTTTTCTTAATGTGTAGAATGATTTATCTCTTTAAACTATATTTAAGAACAAGTTTCATTAAAGAAAACTAAACCAGAAACAGCACACAGACATATACATATATAAAATATAACATATAAAAGTTATATGGTGGATTCATATTTTCTCCCCTGCTGCTTGGAAGAAGCTATCACAGATTTTTCATATGTTATATTCTCAAGTATAACTTACTTTATACTCCTGCTTAATTCTTCTTTTACCTTGAATGGAATGACTTTTCATAACTTCTTTAACCACTTACATTTTCCCAATTGAGATCCCTACAAAGAATTTTTCTTTAAATATAATAGAGCACAAAAGGGTGTAGGGCAGTCTGGAGACTAGAAGTTTATGTAGAGCCACACAAACTAACTCTTCCTCCCTCTTATCTCTTCTTCAGAGCACAGGGCAGTCATGGAAGCTGCTTTTGTGTATGGGAACACATACCAATTTGTCTTAACTACAGAAATTGCCCTTTTGGAAAGTATTGGGTATGTATAAGAGGCGTATGTCAACAATTTTAAGTTTACTTATTTCATATTATTTATCATTTCCATTATGCTCTCACAGCGTGGACTTAGAGTCTAAGAGGAATTGTAAGCAGATGTGAATATATAAATGAAACCTGAAATCTCCTTCATTACAATCATCTGCTGTACTACTGTCTGAATTAATTTAAATATGCAGAAGTGATGTTAGACTAAGGTGAATGAAAACAATATGGATAAGCTACAAGATGTGATCCTGTGAGTGACCAAGTATATTGTAGGAATAGATCTCCCACAGCGATGAGATAGGTGCTAACAGACAGCTTTCATAATTAAGCTCCAGAAAGTATTTCTGAGAGTTCTGTAAGTTACTTTGTCATAATCTTTTTTGAATGGAATGTTTTACATGTTTGTTTATTTATTTATTTATGTATTTATTTATTGTCTACTTCCTAGATTACAATTTTAGGTAGAGACCTTCTTTTGACTGTTGTCTAGGCAAATGTAGGGTTAACATTTTTCTTTACTTTAGTATTTAGGGACACAAGGAATAACCAGTGCATTTTAAAGACTTTAAATTTGGCTTTAAAGTGCTCTTCAGGAAAACTAATCCAAAGCAAGGCCAAATGGTGACTGTGTGACCTTTTTATACCATGCAAGTTTTTGAGTCCTTTTGCTGACCTTTCAGAAAATAGTGATTATTTTGTAATAATCACACAAAAGTAATTAAATCCCATTTTACAACTCTGTGAATTTAGAGGTTAGTACATAGAAAACTGATAAAGTTAAATGATTTGGGGCAAGGGGAATGGGTTGGCAGAAAATAACGTTTCTACAAAGTGGAAGTTATATTTTTTGTGCTTTTTTGTTGTTTTTAATCCTTGCCTGAGACATTCTTTCTGTTGCTTTTTCAGAGAGAGTGGAAGGGAGGGAGGGAGGGGAGAAAGAGACAGAGAGAAACATGGATGTGAGAGAGACACATTTACTGGTTGCCTCCCACCAAGCCTGGGGATGGAACCTGCAGTCCAGGTACGTGCTCTTGACCAGGAATCGAACCCGTGACCCTTCAGTGCTTGGGCCAACGCGCTAACCACTGAACCACTGACCAGGGCAGAAGTTACGTTTTTATTGCTCTGTTTGGCAGCCAGCATTCCTTTTTTATTAGTCTCTTCTTAATCATTCTGCTGGTTCCCTCATTAATGAGTTAAATAAAACTTTGATGCATGTTTACTGTTGTATAAGAATTAAGGTTTTTAACAATTTGAGAGTTATACTGACAGTACCATAAAGCATTATTGTAAGTAGTGATACAATAAGCAGTTGTTTAGCCAGCTACTTTGCTACTCCCAACTGCCAATTTCCTATCCTGGAGTAGGGGAAGCCTTGTTATTCTCCACCCCAGGGTGATGCTATGGTAGCACCATAGTTTCTCTTAGGGTTAGTTGTTTGTACTTTCTCTTGTGTTACCAGCTTGTTTTCCAGATAATGAATAAATGCATGTAATGGTGACACACATAAAACACAAGGAGTGGATATTTACTGAGAGTCTATATATAGGTCCTATCATTTACTTTACAAATCCTGTTCAGCAAGATTTACTACATATATTTTTTATTCTGACCTATGACTAAACACAGTAATGTTCTGGAAGAGTATTTGCTCTTCTCCACTTTTAAAATGGGAATTAAAAAATGTACAGTTATCCTCTCTTTTTGTATATGTTGTATTGGAGATATTTGAATTCTCATTTGTTCATGGATGACAAGATGGTGAGGAGTCATACCTGGACCTGCTGTGACAGGGAAGGACTGTGGATAGAATACAGTGGTCCTGTGACACCACCTCTGGGTGAAGTAGTTGCCTATAACTTTGAATTGTCTCCTAATGGGGGAGAGGTGAATGCCTTTTCTTCTTCCATGTGTGTATTCTTTCATTTAAAGAATATGTATTGAATACCTGCTGTGTGTTAGGCATTATTCCAGTTGCTGAGGCTATTACAGTGGATAAGAGTACTATTTTAATTGTTATATAACGTTGGATGTTAGTATGCTTGAAATTAAGTGTTGGTTAAGAAGAGTGTACATTGACAGGTAATAAAAGAGGTAGCATGCCATGGAGACACTAGTACTTTCTGCTGCCTCCCTATATTCCCTTCTTAAAGAATCTGTGTATAGGCCAAGAAGGGTGTTACCCTCACCCCATACATATCACGTTCAATTAAATCAGAGGCAGCTACCTGACCTAGGGCCAACCAATTCATTCGTTTACCTGAGCAAATGCCATCCCCTCTCCCAGAAACTTAGAATTGGGCATAGAAAAACAATTATACAATCTTGTGGCTCTCCTGCTTACAGGATTGTTTTGCCCATATAGAAGTAAAGCTGAGAACATTGTCTTTATACAGAGTTGGGAGTTGAAAAGTATTAATGGCAAAATGAAGATCTTGCAGAACTCTTGCTGTTCAGATCTCTACATTTACTCCCTGATCTAATTACTTTAATTTTCCTTGTATTCTCTGAGATACTCTTCTAAACTTCCAATGTTTCTCCCCCACCTCCCTTTTTGGTTTCTGTTATCTATCACCAAATAATCCGTGATTAAGTAACTTTCCAGCATTATTATTTTAGAGGTTATGATAGGAATTCTAGGCTCAGCTAGGTCCTGCTCTCAACACTTTCCTTTCAGTGTGTGAATATTTAGGGTCCTCCTCAAAAAGCTATGTGCTTTGTGCCTTGGCTATACTGTTTGTTTTGTCGGAAATACCCATTTGCTTTATCTTCTTGGAGAGGTCTTTTTCTCCCTTGCTGTTTTTAATCTCTATGATGATTTTCCTGAACCCTTTTTCTCTCCTCCCCAACTTGAGGCAGAATTAAATATTTCTTTGTTTTCCATAGCACTTTGTATATTATAGCACTTATAACCTACATTTTAATTGTTTTACTAAATATATCTCCTTTAGTGTACGCCTCTCATGAATTTGAATTATCTTAATCATCTTAGTCTTGTATTTTAGCATATGGCCCGATATACAGTAGGTATTAAGTAAATCTTTGATTATTTTTTAAAAATCATTGAATCTATTAGAGCAGGGGTCCTCAAACTACGGCCCGCGGGCCACGTGCGGCCCGCCGAAAACATTTGTTTTTTTACTTCAAAATAAGATATGTGCAGTGTGCATAGGAATTTGTTCATAGTTTTTTTTAAAACTATAGTCCGGCCCTCCAACGGTCTGAGGGACAGTGAACTGGCCCCCTGTTTAAAAAGTTTGAGGACCCCTGTATTAGAGAGATGCTTTAAAATTGAAATCAGTGAACCTTGGAACTCAGTTTAAGCATGTAGCAAGAAATAAACAACATTTTAAAAATTAAAAAATTTGCAATATTTTGCCAAACTCTACTAATGCCATATGAAGACTTTTAAAAATGATATTTTAATTTTGGCAAATCTTACTTTCCCACTATAAGTTTATCTTTGGATTCTCATATTGAAGGGAATGCCAAAGCTCAAATTATAAGCCATATTTGCTGAGTTTTATAATATTTCAGATACAACCTTACCAACTCCCACGAAGTGTCACATGGTTTCTATCTTAAGGCATGTGTTGGCTGAAGTTTATTCAAAACAGATTTGGGTTTAAATTAAACCTAGAAAATTTGTGTTTGAAAGCTTTAACATATCTCTAGAAAGGAAACTCTATTTGAAGATAATCTTATTGTCCTCAAGGTGACAGCCTTTTACTTTAAAAAAATATTATGTTGACCTACCTATAACCCAATTTAGAAGCTACCATGAAAGAATTCAGGAAAATAATAGCTTCATGTGGTTTGTTAAAAATATTACAGTTAATTTTCTTTAATATTCTGTATCTTTAGCTTAGGTCCATTTTATTTTAATGTTATACTCGTTTAGGCTTTTATTAAAACATTGATTCAAAAGCATGAGACTTAAAGAGATGTGTGAAGTCTTTCTGGATGGTAGAAGGATCACACATCGAACTTCAAGTGAGTCTGTCCCTGATTTTTAATTTACAGAATGGAGGATATAAAATATGCACATCTCTACTTTTTTCATTGTAAAGCAGTCTTGGACTTGACCCAACAATGTAGAAGAACACTAATGGGACAGCCATTGACTACACTGGACATTTATCGATTTATTAAGTCAATGGAAGCACCTCTGCTGGTATGTGTCTTATTTTAATGTATTTGGATAATTCCTACGTTAAATTTATTGCTTTGATTCACAGATATGCATTTTACTTAGATGAGCTATATCTTTTCCCCCTTCCTTGAACATATGTCTTGAATTTAGGGGAATTTAGGAATATTTCCTTATTAAAGGTAGAAGAGATGATACATTGTTCATAAAATGAATATTTCATGCCTTGAAGTGTTGTATTGAAACCCAAATAGAGCCTTGTGTAGTGGAATTATAATGCACTGTGACCACGCTGAGATCACAAAGACCACATCATGGTCAAGAAAAGATCTCTTGTGAATATTTTGATCACTATTTTAAAAGTTGGTAAATATTGGCAGTATAGCATTTCTGATGTTTCTCTTTTCTTAGTATTAGCCTGGAAGAATTTTATAGAGACTCAGTAGGTATTGGTGATCAGCAGACTTTTATCTGAAAGTTCAAAGGGTTGTCCTGAGCACGTGTGAAACCTTCAGTAAGCCTTTTCACTCAGCATGTCCTTTTTATATAAAAATGGTGCAGGTATATTATAAATAATTCAAACAGTGCAGCAAAGTGTAGAGAAAAAAATTTTAAAGCCGCCTATTCCCATCATTCAGAAATAAGCTGTTAGGTAACCATCACACCAGTCATAAAGACACTCACAAATAGAGGGATGAATGGATTAATGGATATATCATATTGCATATGGTATTTTATAGTAAGTATTATATTTAATCTTATTTGAATTTAATAAGAAGAAAAAGAAACTGGTATAAAACGAGGGATTATGGAACTTTAAAAAATACATATGTTTTTAGTGATTTTAAGAGAGAGAGAAAGAGGGAGGAAGGGAGAAACATCTATCGGCTGCCTACTGCATGCCCTTTACTGGTGATTGAGCCCACAACCCCAACATGTGCCCTGACCAAAATTGAAATGGCAACCTTTTGGTACATGGGTTGATGATCAACTGAGCCACCGGCCAGGGCAGGATTATGGAACTTTTGATAAACCATTTCTTCATCATTAGAGGGCTCTTAGAAAATATTGTCCTAAGTGTTGAAAATGATTATGAAAAACATTAGGAAATTAAATCATTTTTTAAAAAACGATGTTTTCATTTAAGATAGTATTGATTCCCCTCCTTGCTGTGAAAGATGAGAAAATTAATTTCAGACATTTATTTTTATCCCAGCTCCCTTTACCCTGCTGATTATTGTCAGTTTTGTATTATTTTTACATTATTAAGATTTATAGTATTTGTTATGTTCTGTAACCATAGTTCCCACTTTTTAAAAAGCCTTGCTTCTACATTTAAATAGATTCAGAGCGCACCAGTCCCAGTTTTACTGGCCTCATTCCTGAGTTCTTCGAGTCAGTTTTGTTTAGTTTGATTTTGGCTTCAAACACTGTTTTTTAAAAAGCAGTACATAAGTCTTTCCTTTCTCTTCACACAGAGGAGGAGCATTTATCTTATTTCCATGGGGAGAATACTCTCTGAATTGGTTTTGATCTCCCATTTCAGCATAGAGCCCCAAAAGGAAGATATCAGTTCACTGTACAGTTCTTCACTATTTCTCTCCAGACTCATTTCCTTTTCTTCCAATATTGAGATATTATTAAGAATTCTGTCTACATAGCAGTACTGTTTTTGCCATTGGGGGCAGGATTAGGACTTATCCCAAGCTGTACTAAAAATCTGTTTCTTCTTTGGCTACAGCATTCTGACTTGAAGTTGTGCCCTTTTTCTAAAATTTCTGCTCATGAATTTTCTCTTGCTGTTCTAAAAACTTTTTTTTTTTTAAGATAGGTAATGAGAAGGGAGATTCTCGGATCTTATTTCACTTTGTTATACTTACCAGGAATTATGTAATCGTAGTTTTGAAATCAGTGCCTGGTTGGAGAGCCAAGCTGAGAATCTACACCCTAAACCATGGTGTCAGCCTAGAAAGGCTCGGCAATCCAAGAAGCACTAGATGGTGGACTCAGGGTTACTCAAGAGCCCAGAAAGGGATCTTCCGCCTGAAGTCTGGTGCTAGCATTCCAGGAACAGAGTGGGAAGGGGGCTGGGTGGCCTCTCAGTATTTGCTTACTTAATTCCCCTGCTTTTGGCATGCTATTCACACACTCTGCTGTTCCTAAGCCCCCATCCCCTCCCCCCATTTCTCCTGGTTTGAGGGACAGTTTCCTATGCTCATGGAGTTGGCGAGGGGAATCTGGGGATCTAACTGCTTCTCCAAAGTTTTTACCTATTCCTCCTTTTAAAAAATCCTTCCTGCCATCCCTCTTCCATTATTTCTTTACCAGCTTCAGAGATACCAGGCACTGACAGTTCCTGAACCATTGTAGGATTTATTCTGCAGTTGAAATGGAATTGTTTCTTAGCTTTCTTTCCTTCATGGCTTAGAGTTTTGTTTTGTAGAGTCGGTGATTCTGTTCTCCAGCATTCAAAATTTTGCTGACTTTTCTCTTTTCATTTCTTCACGTATGTTTTTCTTCACATATGTTTTTCTCTTCTAAAAAATCCTACTGCTGTAGTTTTCCTGGGATTTCTGGAGGGAGTGAAATTATCTGTGTGTATTCAAGCTGCTGTGGTAACTCAGATGTTCCTCATTGTTCTGTAATGTGTTATTACATGTGAAATTCTTATATGAAAGAGTGCATTCCTTAGTTATCTCTGCTATTTTATTTGAAATATCTATCTTTATTAGTACCACACTGTTTTACTTATTGTTTTTTTTTCTTTATACTATGCTTATTCCTTATGGGTTGTAATTTTATGTTTAACCTCTTATAAAATTTTGTTAGTTTTATAATGCTTAAACCAAATAGGTACATTGGAAGCATTAAACTTAGAAATTATGAGACCATTTCTGGTAACGTAAGATTTATTTCACAGACTTGTTCTTTTACTTGTGACTTTATTAATAAGAATCAGCAAGGTTTAAATCCAAATGTTGGAACATTATTATCACATTTTGTTCTTTTTTTAAATGAAGACTGAAGTTGCTGAAGATCCTCAGCAAGTTTCAACTGTTCATCTCCAACTAGGATTACCTCTGGTGTTTATTGTTAGTCAACAAGCTACATATGAAGCTGATAGAAGAACTGCAGAATGGATTGCCTGGCGTCTTCTGGGGAAAGCAGGAGTTCTGCTCTTGTTAAGGTATCTTAAATGTGCCATATTCACTGTGTTTAATAAAACACTAATATTTTTCTCATATTTAAATGTGGTAATCTGTTCACTTGTAAATAAATTCAAATCTGTAATAGATTCTAATATTGTTAGAACAAGTTGCTGAGTTAAAGTCTAAAATTATTAGTATGGTTAAAATTTAGACATTAAAATTTATCTAAAGGAAGATATAGATAAAGATAGAGATCAGAAAATTTGGTCTGTATTTATATATGAAATTTCTGAGTCATGAAATTGTCATCTTTTTTCATAAATTTCTTTTTAGTATGAGAACTTACAGTTCTATTTTAGATTGACATCCTGGATGACTGTTATCCTTCAGATTAGCAACATAAAACATTTATTTCCATTTTGAAAAGGGACTCTTTGGAAGTGGACATTCCTCAGCAAGCTAATGTGGTCTTCAAAAGAGAAGAGGTTAGTCATTTTGTGGATTGGTCTACAATGCCTACTTGTTTAAAGTAATATATGCTTATTATAGAAAAATTCTGTAAATTGCCACTATTCAAACATACTTGCTATTAATATTTTGGTGTGTTTTTTCCATTTGTTAGTTTGTCTTTTTTCCCATATTCATATACAGTCAAACCTCATTTCTGGAACATCTCCCATCTCGAACAGTTCAGTTCTCGACCAAGTTGTTCACAGAAAAAATGTCTCAGTTGTCGAACCAAACTTAAGTTTTTGGTTTTTGAATTGATAACCCTTTCAGGCTGATACCTTAGGATGACAAAAAGCATCTCCCAGGCAACACACAAAAGAGAATGCTTTTGTTGCTGGTAAAATCCACCTTACCATAGCTTTAAAACATAAAGAGGCCATCAAGAGTGCTAATGTTGCTAAGGATCTGAAAGAAACAGTGATCACAGGCAACTGAAGAAGTAGAAAAACTATTGTTGATTAGGATAAATGAAAGCAGTTAGCTAGTGATGGCATTTCAGGGGCAATGATATGTGAAGAGCAAAGATGCTGCATGCTGCCCTGAAGGACACCCCTGTAAGGACTGCTGAAAGTGATTATTTTAAGGCTGGTAGGGGGTGGTTCGATAAATTAAGAAAAAGAAGTGTTTATTTATAGAGTAAACAGTACATTAGACGTGTATTGTATATAAGAAAGGTTAGCCCTTGCTGGTTTGGCTCAGTGGATAGAGTGTCAGCCTGCGGACCTAAGGGTCCCGGTTCAATTTTGGTCAAGAGCACATACCTCGGTTGCAGGCTCCTCCCCGGCCTGGGCCCTGGTCCGGGTGCATGCAATAGGCAACCAATCAATGTGTTTCTCTCACATCGATATTTCTCTCTTCTTTCTCTCTGTCTTCCTCTCCCTCTAAAAATCAATGGAAAAATAACTTCAGATGAGGATTAAAAAATAAATAACTTTATTAAAAAAAAAAGGTTAAAACGGAATCATTTGGGGGTCTAGAATGGGTTAATTCAATTTATTTTATTTCTAATGGGAAAAAATGATATGGTTTTGGAACAAATCACTTCTTGAACAGCCTTTGGAATGAATTAAGTTCGAGAACCAAGGTTCCACTGTATGTATTTATATATTTTTAAAGAAAATTAGGATCGTGCTATATATCTTACTTTTCACTTAAAATGATATTTAATTACTTATTATTGTGCTGTGATGCCTGCCTTTGTATTCTGTTTTGAGTAACACTGATTCTTTTGGCTAAATTTTTAGAAGTGAAATGTGTCAAAGGAAATGGAAATTTTTGAGGCTTTTAAAATACATTGTCAAATCGCCCACCAGAAGGGTTGCAGGTTTGCTCCCCATTCCCAGTCGGGTCGAGCACGGGAGATAACCAATCCATATGTCTCTCTCACATTTATGTTGCTTTCTCTTTCCCTCCCTCTCTTCCTCCTTCTTTCTCTCCCTTCCTCCCTCTCTCCTTCCCTCCCTTTCCCCTGTTTCCCCAGTCTCTAAAAATCAATGGAAAAAATATCCTTGGATGAGGATTTTTAACAACAACAAAATAATCCTCAAACTATACACTTATAATTTGTGTTTTTTTTCTCTGTGAATGTTATACTTTAATAAAAAAGTTTACCACGTCTGGCTGGCATGGCTCAGTGGTTAAGTGTCGACCTATGAACCAGGAGGTCACGGTTTGATTCCCTGTCAGGGCACATGCCTGGGTTGTGGGCTAGATCCCCAGTGTGGGGTGTGCAGGAGGCAGCCGATCAATGATTCTCTCTCATCATTGATGTTTCTCTCTCTCTCTCTCTCTCCCTCCCTCCCTCCCTCC